CGGTGGTTAACCGCTAGTCGGATGAGTCCCATAGTGACACGGCCCATGGTGGAACCTCCCAGCGGTCACCCATCCACGACGTGATCGGAGATTCACTGCTTAACTGTTGCGAGTATACTAGTAACTTACTTATATACGTAATTTATTATAAAATATTATGAAATAAAGTTATTATGACAGAATTCCAAAAACCTAACGTTATTCTACGAAGATTCTTAAATTTTGAAGTTTAGTTTAATTCAGGTTAAGGTCAATAATAAATAGATATTAATGATATAATCCCTAATTACCTTACAATATTCAAAGAAGATTGTTAAATTTGCAAAACTTTTGTCTAATTAATGTAACGGTCTATAATAAATAGATATTAATGATATAATCCATGAGTACCTGACATTATTCTAAGAAGATTTTAAATGTTAAAATATTAGGCACAGTTTGAGTTTACTTCGTGTCTTTATTTAAAACGGTTCGACTATCAATTCATGTAAATGCCGTTTAGTGACCCTTTAATTATTTTCGAAAAATCTCGTAAATTTCGCCAACTTAAATGGGAAAAATGAGCTGCCAAACTGTTTAACATCCATGCATATGCAAATGAAATGTCTGTTTCCGTTAACTTCTGCTTGTTAAAAGACGAAAGTCTACAAGTTACTTGAAACTGCAATGTGGCAACTTATAAAAAAAGAGATTGACGGCATGGGATTTATACTGAATTAAAAATTATTAACAAAAAAGCAACTAATAAATGAAATAATAAGTACCTATCTTAATTTTATAATCTCCAGTAAAAAAAATTACCACTTGCAAATAGTTCGTTTTAATTAAGATACACACTGTATGAGATAAGTAAAATATACACCCCCATCAGCATAATTTCCTCGCGGCGAAACTGATCGTTATGATTTTTTAAAAGCGGATTTGGTGGAATTAGTCTGTCCTCGACAATCCATAATGGAGATATAAATATTATAAACCGTATTAACTTTATTGTGAAAGTATTTTAAGAATTTTTTTAAACTTGTCTAATATTTTTCACCTGGAATATAACAAACCAAGGTACAGATCTATTCTTTGTATCGTACTTATAATAATTCCGAATAAATAACTGAGTAGATTCCTGAATTATCAGCAAAAATTATGGTAACTACTGTAAACAACGATAATTAAAGTTTTAATCAAACAACAAAAAATTGTAACAAAATATAAATATAAACTACATGCACTTTGCGTTTTTTTCCATGTGCGCTTTTTTCCATGTGCGCTTTTATACCCGTGAGCTTTTTTCCGTGTGCGGTTTTTTCCATGTACGCATATTTCCTCGTGCGGTTATTTCCTGTGCGCTTATATGTCTGTGCGCTTTATTCTGTGCGCATATTTCCTGTGCGCTTATTTCCTTTGCGCTTTTTTCCGGTCACCGTTTTCACAATGGTGAGTAAATCACTAGCAGTTTTAGAAGAAAAATCGTAATTTTCTTGTAGACATTTTTATTCGGATCGGCTTTCCATTTTTTTGTACAGTTCATTTAAAAGACTACCGCATCCTATCTGTTTTCATACCCGCACGTCATCAGCACTCATCGAGTGGACGGATTTAGTTATTTCAACAATCCTTTATGAATTTCCGTCCATCATGCGATACGTTCGTTAACTTGTTTGCGTTGACTTATTTAAAGTAATGGAAAATATTATGTTCTCCAAATCCGTATTTCTGATGCAACCGTCCGATACATACACATTCTCGCTCACCTTAATGATTTTCTAGTAGAGTTCCAAATATTTATTTAATGCATTTCGCGAGCTAACTAAAAATTTCGTCTTTATTACCTGAACAGTATAACTTTAAATTGTGAGATCATTTATATTTGCATATGTATTTACTACTTAATCACAACTATTTACAAATTTTGTTAAATTATTTTCATACCCATCAAGCATGGGAATCGAATTAACATGTAATTTTAACATATCAACATTTATTTGATTTCCATGGACCATATTTTTTTTTCTAATAAATAATCTATATCGTTTATACAAAAATCTGTATAATCTATTCTATTTCAGTTATTGTTATTATTATATTATTAACTCAACCTATTCTAAAATTCGCAAAACTAAGTGTAATGTAAGAGTAAGTATAACAGGAGTACTCAGTATTTAGACTTCTAATGATTCTAGTTCTGCAGCCTCAGAGGGCAGATTCCCACAACAAAAGCTCTCAATACCAAAGAGTTAAACTAGAGTAAATTTCGCAAAATCGAACCCGATGTCGTGGCTTTTCACGAAACTTCTGTGTTGACACTACTAACTGCGCCAGTTAAATTAATTTAACTGCAAAATAACAAAAATTAACTACATAGTTTGAAAATACGGACTTTATTATTTTGGTCTGTATTCGGTTAGAATCAAAACTGGAATGAAAAAATATATTATGTTTCACATGATAATAGTTAATACAACGTTAGCAGTTTAGTTTTATATTATGATAAGCAACTCCTCTTACATAACTAGCGCTAACCAACTGAGTTACAAAGTTTATGTCAAATTAACTATATAATAAAATAAATGACATCATTTTTTACAACGTCTTTGCTGGCGCTCCACCGACAGTGCGTCTGCAGCAAAGTATTGTCTGTCATTTTCTACAAGACCAAAATGAACGAAAAATGTGTAATTTAGCTTTGCCCAAATAGGTACCAAAAAAAGTGTCACTGGATCCCCTAACAATACAACAAGGACGGCGCGGTTCGAAGTTTACCACCTTTCACTTACCAAAGGTTTGTTTGCAATTTATGTCCTTACTTAATAGTCCAAGAGCTAGTAACACACATTCCATTAAGTGTTTGATACACTTTGAAATTTTGTAATTTTAAATCATTTGGATGAAAAAGCAGATATACCTGTGTTGGCTAGACCCACTCCGGGACACCAGGTACTGCGCATAATAGAAAGGGGTCGTAAAATATGACCCAAAAAAAGTATTTGATTCAGAGGCCAACAAACAACAATTGAAAGTTTAGTTAATTCTAAAAATACTAGTAATTTAGGCAGACACTTTTGAGAGGGTTTATAATTAATAAATCAACCCCGAAGTTGATTTGTTTTAAATATAATTTGAAGTGTTTGATTCACGCTGAAATTTTAATAGCGTCTTAATTAAATATAAAAAAAATTAATTCCAAAAAGGCAGACACTTTTTCCGGGGTTTAATTGCCGGCCAACATAAAAATGAATGAACCTCGTTGTGCGCCACAGCTCTCTAGTAGTGCTCGCGAGTAACATTTTTTATCAGTTTTACCTCCTGAACGGAAACCCTCTAGCGGGGATGAGACTCAACCCTAAAATTTTAAATGCAAAGAGAGGTCGAATGATATCTTATTTTAAATGTATAATTACCTAGATTATAACCCCCCGAGTTTTACTTTGCTACTCTCTACGTAGCCCATACAGTGGCTAACTAAAAGTACATAACAGGTTTAACATATTCTTTACATTGTTATTAAAAAAAAAAGAAATTTTTTGTAACAATTCTAGTTTTATTGTTATCAGATGACATTCTTTGGTCGCCGTAAAGTAATAAGTTGTAGTTTATTTCGTTATAGAGTTATAGAGCAAATAATTTCACTTCTTTTGAGAACAATGGATGTGCTAATAGAATTGCCCAACTGTTTAAAAATCAAAATCGACAAGTCCATCATCAAGTATATTTTGGAGTTAGTCCAAAAATTTTGGACAACAAGGTCAGTAACTAACAAATAACGTGAAATGGAAAATGCTGTAGTAAATGATACAGAGGTGGCGATTTTAGGGCATGTTGTTCAAGAACCCACATTGAGCACAAGACAGTTGGCGATAACTTCTGGTATTAAGAAACGTAGCATTCAGAAGATATTGAAAAAACACAAGTATCATTCCTAAAAAATGCATCTGGTATAAGAACTTAACTAAGACGATTTTGATAGGTGATTACAATTTTGTGAAATTGTGACTGAACGAGCTATAAATGCAGAAATTTCTTTTCAACCTGTGTTTTTCTGACGAATACACTGTTTTCCTAAATAGTACGGTAAGTCGTCAAAACTGTAATTATTGGTCCGAATCAAATTCCAGAATATTTCATGAACTGCATAAGCAACATTCGGAAAAACTAAATATTTGAACTGTAATTTTTGGGAACCGTATAATTGGCCCCTTTTTTTACCTGGAACTCTAACCGCAGAAATGTATCTGGAATTATTAGAAAACGACATTCATCCAGCATTACTAGAGTTGATTGAGAATGAAGATCGGTGTATAGCAAACAACTTAATATTCCAGCAAGACGGTGTGCCACCTCATTTTGCTATGATTGTTCGTCAGTATTTGGATCAAAAGTTTCCAGGTCAATGGATCGGAAGAAGAGGAAGTATTGAGTAGCCCTCACGGTTTCCGTATTTAAGCCCGCTAGATTTTTTTATGGAGCCACTTAAAATTTAAAATGTATGCCACCCAGCCAACATCACTGGAAAATCTGCGACAATGGATAAGTGATGAGACTAGCGATTTAAAACTCGAGGGTTATAATCTAGGTAAAAATACCTACAAAATAAGATTTTAGGGGGAAGTTTCACCGCTGCTAAACGGTTTCCGTTCAGGGAGTGAAACTGGCAAGAAAATATTTCCCCCTAATATCAAAACTTGACGGATCCGAGCGTTCATCCAAAATCTTCTAAATTCATGATAGTTAATAAATGTTTTATATTGTGTTTCTACTTATTTCATTAATATCTAGCACCGCAGCACCACTGAATACCAGTGATGACTGCACGGAGCATATAGAGTTGCCAGAGGCCAAATATCCCGATTTTTGTTAAAAAATTTACATTCTTGGCTATATCTAATTTATAGATTTTTTTGTAATGTTATAACAAATATTTTGTTCAACATAGAATTGCCAACATTCCAGATAAAAAAGTATTAATTTTATACAAAAAAAAATTACATTAAAATTACATAATATACCTTTTTTATGATTTCATCCGTCGAACTAATACCAACATTGGGTAGTCCATCAGTTAAAAATACCATAATTGGGGTATATTTGTTCGGATATTGTAATTGAGACTTTTGGATAATTAACAGTCCAATTTCCAAAGCGCCCATTATGTTTGTTACACCATTTTCATATAAATTTTCAATTAATGTTTGTACTTTTCTGATGTTTTCTTTAGTAGCTACGTGGCCTGGAGGAAAGTTTGTGTTCTAAAAAATATAACAAAACCCTGAAAAATCATCTTCGATAGACCTATGGGTTTTTTAAAGGGAGTAAAAGAGGATAAATTTGAATTTTTGTTGCATTATTAAGTTAAAAATTGTCAATGGCACTTAACGATTATTGTAGATTAGAAAATTGGTCCTACGTTGGACTTGTTTTGTAACCTACAAAAATCATTAGATCCTTATATTGAATACCAAGGTTACTAGCCTCGTGTTCTGTGTAGACTTTGTTACTGTTTTATGAAGTTTTTATTTACTTAAAAGCTAATTTAAGAGTCGCTAAATTGGAGGTTTCCACTTTATTGACATTGGGGTACACGATTTAATTTTTAACGAAAGAAAAACGTTACAGGTTTGTAAGTCATGAACTCTTAAGCTTAACCACGTAAAAAAACTGTCCATTACTAGTTTTCAAAATTCATTCTGTTTTCTTTTAATTGTGGTTTACTAATTGATTACAGTTGCCTTAAATTTTAGTCTCTTTAGGCCTTAAGCCTGCCATGCAAAAATATTTGACCCGTTTACCCCATATACCTGTCCTTGTAAAATATATTCATGTAAACATATTTACTCCTACTCCTTACGCATGTCGATGTAATATTTGGCCCATTTATGCCCTAAGCCTGTCCATGTAAAAATATTTGGTCCCTTTAATACTTACCTAAATATAATTGGGCCTTGTATTATTTAAACCTGCCTTTCTAAACATATTTCAACGATTAAATCTGCATATCTAAGAATATTTGGACACTTTATTCTTTAAATATGTCTAAGTAAAAATATTTGGCCCCTTTATCCCGTAAGGCTGCCCATGAAAAACTATTTCACTTAAGCTCGCCGTTGTAAATGTATTTAGAAACTTTACATGTAAATTAATATTTGAGATCTTTACCTTTTTGGTCCAATTGAAACAATTCAGACACGAGCAGAATTATGGAATTCGATAATACTCGTGTAAAAGTCATTTTCCTTGTTACTCGCTTAAGATCCACATTAATAATAACATAAAACAAGTCGAAACCACAAGTAGATCGGAATTATCGTGTCAGCACATATTTTTTTTCTCCTGGGCTCGTCTGACTATGTCTCCAAATAACACTGAAGCCTATTGGCTTATTGTGTTTTACCCCATGTCAGCACATATATATTTGCAGGGATGTCCAGACAAAATATATACGTTTTTGGCTTAGAGTAATCGGAAACGTTGAGAAAAGTATTGAAAAAGGGAGAAAGAGAACAAATTCAAAGAACAGCATGTCTCAACATTACAGGAGATATGAAAACCTCACCGACCAGTGCCATGAAAGTCATCCTTAGTCTCACTCCCCTCGATCAAGGAGATTGTTCTGATGACAATGACAAGCCTTCTCACTGTTAGAATAGAACCTGATGTAAGATATGGTGGGGCAAGACGTCGTTTTTGGCAGAAGGCGCTCGATACGCTCATACTGCTTCAAACGAACATGCACTCTATCTCACCGAGATATATATCTTCCATAATCCATATAAAGGTATATCAGAACCAATAAAAGAGCCAGAAGTGGCAGGTACGATTCAGGTTCTAAAACAAAACAAGGCCCAGGATGTGGAATATATTCCAGATCCTTTAACCTAAACATAAAATGGGCTGTGAGCAGTAGTTTCAGTGTAGGTCAAAAGAAATCACCAGAAATAATATATTTGGAAAGAACATACTCATCTATACAGATAGTAGACAAGCACTACTCACCCTGGACAGACTACGAATTTACACAGAGTTAGTACTAGATTGTTACGACGCTTTGGCCGAAATATCTCTCACTAATGTGACCAACTTAAGATTAATTAAAGATAACGCCACATCGAAAGACGGCAGCCAACCAAATACCTTTTGGAACTGGCTCTTTTATTGGACTGGCAACATTGGTAGTGACAAACCTAATTAAAGAACATTCTCCGTGTGAAATTCAAGGAAATATTGGATGAAACAAAAAGCTGCAGACTTGCCAAAAAGCTTTTAATTTATCTTGACAATACTACAGCCAACAAATACTTGACTATGACTAGACAGAAGCTGCGCCTTATCACAGGCATTCTGACTAGTCATTGCCAAGTACGGACGCCTCTCCATATTATGGGGCTGTCAGAATACGCACTCTGCGGGGAGTGCGAACAAGAAGATGAGATTATCGAGCATATTCTCTACGATTGCTTGACGCTCATTTAATACATTTGTGTTCGCCGAGAATTGGCTAACACCGGCCGATAAAAGAGAAGCAACTCTTGGCGAAGTTGTTAACTACATTAAAGCTGTAGGCTGGCTCACGAGCTTAGAGGTGCCTATCTACTTAGGAGGACACACAATGGATCTAGTTAGGCCTACGTGCCGTGGGTTAACCCACACGTTACGGAAATACAGCAGGGAAAAAATAAATAGGGAGCGTTAGTAATTTAACCGGACTAAATAAAAAAGATCGTTTTAAAATAAGTTGGTACCTCTAAAACTTTTGCTAAATTTCCATAACTCAAATATTCTGGATCCATACCATCAAAGGCATTGTTCCCTCTGGAATCTGTTTCCCATACATACACTTCCGTGGAATACTGCACAATGTTAAATATATCCCCTTCATTTAACTGCGGTAAAATTTTTATCATGGCATCGATCAGTTGTTTTATCTTTGGACCCGCCATACTACCGCTGGTATCAAGTAAGAAGACGATGTGCTTAGGCAGGGGATCGAAACTTTTTGGGGCGAAATAATTCAATAGGAATCCATCCTGGTAAATTGTCTAAAATCACATATTTAAGTTATAAAATGCAAAATTCTAATTGTTGGTAAAAAATACATCAAGTAATAACAAACAGGCGCTATTAGGCATTCCAGGGACCTGCCAAACAAGAGCTTTCAGTGGGAAGTGTTCGTATATCTAAGGAAGTTGCATTCGAAATAGTAGTCGCCAAGTTTGCCAATATATGGAAAATTTATAAGCCGTTTTTTTTATATATATTTTCATTATGTTCGACATAGAATATTTAAATTCAATTCATTATTCATAATTTTACGTATTTTGGATAGATCGTATGCCTCAACCCCTTAAATATACCACGCTCCCACCGACAGTTCTTTTGTTTGGAATGCCTAATTACGAGGGATGTCTTTTTAGTTTTGCATACAGAGACATAGAGGGCGCAACGGATCAAATGTCTTTAAAAATAAATCTCTATATTTAATTAACGTAAATTCAAAGTTTCAGTGCGATACGTAAAGTATTGTAGCTACAGCGAATTGTCAAACTTCACAAGTTATTCAAACTATGGAAATAAATCAAGAACATTCTCGATCAATTCATTTTTTATAATATTCCAAAAAAATTATCGCAACAAGAATGCCTCGTCGATTTTGGTTTTTAGCAATGAAGCACCACGTCAGTAGATAATTTCTTGTTGGTATGGATAATTCAAACGTGAATGGCTCAGTCTTAACTACGAAGAATAGAGATAAGGAGGCGAATCGGCATACTTGAAAAACGGTCCCAGAAAACGAACGCTAATTGAACTTTTATAATTCACCGCATAAGCGCTGGTGCTGCTAACGCTATTAAAATGCATGGATTCTTATGGGAATTTTCCATAATCTTACGAAAATAATAAAAATAAACTTGTTTGTTAAATAAAACACATAACATACTGTTGTATTTATTTCTAAATAAGTCTTGCATGTTGTAATTGATAATTTATTTACTTTGATCTATATAAAATACAAATTAGGTAGGTATGACCAAATTCGAAAAGGTTTGTTAAATGGTAAAATTTGGTAAGTACAATTTTGTGGCAACCTGCCAACCACAGTCAATTTGGCGAACTTTATAAAAAGAAGGACGGAAATTTGAAATTTGGCCATTAGTGATTCGCCTCCTTCTCTCTAGTCTTCATAGTCTTAACAACGAGCTAAGGATAGGCAACAAAAAAGGCAGTCACCCAGAAAAACTTAGACCTGTGCCAAAAGAAAATCAACATGTAACATATCGCTAGATTGAGGCATTATTGGGGATTTTAAACAACTCAATTCAAATAATTTTGCATTAAGATTTGTGTGGTAAAAAAATTAGTTTATCTTTGGATATCTGTTGACCGAAGAACAGTAAAAAGCTAGGATGAAATGGTGTCGAAAAACTCTAGCCAATTCAACACAGCATAGCATAGCATCGTCATTAGTGATGAGTTGTGGATGTACTCATGTAAACCCGAAAATAAACGCCAATCGTATGTTGGGGTGTTTCAAGGTGAAGAAAATATGACAAAAGTCATCCGTCTAAAAAGATGGTATTTATCTCAAAAGCAACAATCTCTCTGTAAAATCAAAAAATTTTTACTGCTAATTGGTTTACAACCATTTGTTTGTCAAAAGTAATCGCTGAACTTTTAAAAACCAATACTCCAGATTCTTAAACATAAAAGCAATAGTGCCAGTGCAGTTCAAATAGAGCTAACAGAGATTCTCATAGTAGCAAAAGAAATAACTAGAAACAATATCACTGGAAGGAACATGCTCATCTATAGCAGACAAGCACTACTCACCCTAAACAGACTACGAATTAACTCAGGGTTAGTACTAGAATATCAGGAAGCTTTCGTCGAAGTATTCATCAACAATGTGGTTACCTTAAGATGGATCAAAGGTCACGCCAGATCGAAAGGTAACCATCTTGCTGATTTAGTAGCCAAGAAAGCAGCCAATCAAATACTTTTTGGTCTTGGCTCTTCTATTGGCCTGACAAAATCGGTAGTGACAGACCTAATTAAAGAACATTCCCTTGTGAAATTTAAAAAAAGATGGAATGAAACAAGAAACTGCAGAGTGGCCAGAGAGCTCCTAAGTTATCCTGACAACAATGCAGCAAACAAATACTTGACTAGACAGAATCTGCGCCTAGTCACAGGCATTCTAACTGGTCATTGCCAAGTACGGAAGCATCTCCATATCATGGGGCTGTCAGAATCTACACTCTGCAGAGAGTGCGAACAAGAAGATGGACCATCGAACATATCCTTTACGATTACTCGACGCTCTCATTTATTAGAAGATTTGTACAATTGCAATTTTAGAACAAGAAAATGTCGAATTGTAGGACCATCCTCCGTACGGTCCCGATTTAAGTCCTAACGATTTGTTTACTTTTTAAAAAATCAAGCACGGACTGTTTGTTTACCAATAAAGGAGTGGAACAACTGCTGTAAGAGTTGGTTTAAGCGAATGCAAAAGTGTATTAATATTCGTAGAGAATACTTCTAAAACTAATAAAGTACTTAAAATATATCTATTGCTTTATTTCAGGTCTATGCAAAATATAAAAGACAACCCTCGAGATGTTTAACACAAACCGAGTATCCGATTTAGAACTGTAACTTAAACCGTGAGAAATTATCTTTTATTTTAATTTCGAGTATAAATTTTTACAATAAACAATCAGTATGTACTTACCTCTCCACCTTCGTTGGTTCTATTAACATCATATTTGACGACAAACTGTCCAGCAAACCCGTCATATTCCTTATTTCCTAAACCAGCACACGCAAATTCATACTGTCTAAATACATCTGGTTCAAAGACTACATATGCCGAAGTGTTAGCTATCTTCACTTTAGCATGAGGATCCAAAGTAGCTTTGTATGATAGCACAGCATTGTTTCCTGATCGTAGATATGGGGTTCTCACAAATCGCAATGGTAGGCTTTCATTGATACTGACCTATAATAATTAAATAAGTTAGAAAATCTGGTATATATTTGCGATGGTTGTTACAGAAAATGTGAGGTTCAAGAGAAAGTCAATGTAAGAGAATTAAAAAAGAATATTTTTAACATGGGTGCTAATGTAAAAACCCTGCATGATAATTTCTCGAATAATAATATTTTAAATTTAGTTTGAAAACATTACTAAAAACTGGATTTTGTCAATGTTTCAATTTTGCGCAGGCGCATGTCGGAAATAAATCAATATTTTCAAAACTCAGTTTACGACATTTGAAAGCTTAGCAAAAAATGCTAATTTTCATGTATCTTGAGAAATTTTGATCCGATGTACCGTTCTCGCGGTATGGACGATTGAAATTTGTTTAGTATTTTGAGGCGGCGAAGGTCGAAAAATTGACTTTGTTAAATATTCAAACACTAAATTCTTCATAACTTTGGTAAAAATTAAGATATTTGAAAAAACTTAAATGCGTTTTGAACTCAAGAGATATGACTATTGATTCCCAGAAGGGGGCAAGAGAAATCCCAAAATTGGGCATATGGCGGAAGGGCAAAGTGTACCTCGAGCCTAAATTTCATTGTTTGCCTATAACGGCCAAACTATTTGAATTTTTTCAATGCCACTTACAAAGCTTACTTTTGATTGTGAAATCTTATGTTTGTGTGAATTTCACCGAAATCGGACTATAATTGGCCAAGATATCAAACAATTATACAAATTTTTTTCCCTAAAAAAAAAATAAATTGTTTTTTGAAAGTTTGAAGTGGCACACAAATGCCAAAAATGCACCCAATGGCTCAAAACTTTTTTTTTTGAGTACTTTAATGTGTCTAGAATACGATTACATTACGGAAAATTCTGCAAAAATATTTTGTCCATTTTTTTGACCACTGTTCATTGAGTGACGACCAAAAAACACGGTTTTTGAGAAAAGTTGCCTAAAATTGATGATTTTTAGTTTTTTGGTCTGAAAATTGAGCAAATCCAAATTTCATGTCCTTTAAATGTGTACACAAAGTTTAAAGTGTGTATGTTTCTTCTAAGTTGTAGAATTCTCCCGACAAAAGTCCCATTATACGCGCTCCGCGGGATCCAAAACTCGTGTATACACTGCATTTCTGTAACTTGATTTTTTTGCGATTTCCAGTTTTAAATTTCTTACATACCTAAATTTATTAGGCCTTTTTATTAAATTGTATTTTACTGACTTGTTATAAGACATTTCTTGAGTTTTGTGCAAAATGTAAGTTGCTGTAATTGTAAATAAATGTAATAGCCAACTATGACTTTTCTTATGTAATTGTGATGAAATACATAAGTATAACTATGTTTAATAATACTGCTTTTGGCTATTGTTATAAATGCAACCATCCTAACCCGGCCTCCAATCCCCTCCAGTGCTGCCAGTTAGTTAATCCTCTTTATTTGGGATTCACAAGAAACCGAGACCGAAATCTTGCATTCCATTTGCGCGCATTGAGTGCCCAACAATACTAGAAAAATGTATAAAAAATTATTTCTATTGACATTCATCCCAGAAGTCAATGTTTAGATTCTCGTTGAGATAAAGGCGAGAGTTTTCCTGATATTCTATGTGTTCTTTTAAATGGTGAGAAATTTAGTTGAGTCGAACAACGCTTGTCGATTCATTCAAAGAAATAGAATAAATTGGGCAAACATTTAAAAAAAAAAAAATTGGCCACGTTTTCGTGAACTATTGCAGATTTGCAATGCAACCTATAACATTCGAAATATAACCGAAAACTACGCATTTTTTGTGTTTAGAAAATTTCTCGTAAAACGAGTGATTTTCTCTTAAATCAAACATTTTCCCTTTTTTTTTTCGATAAAAAACAAGCACACTGTCGATGTTTTCCGTAATTTGGGCACTTTACAGACTGAAAATATATAAGAATCAGTAAGTTTAATGAGAAGCAAGCTTACTTTTTCTCCCAATTGCCAGGAAATGCCCCTTTTCTCGAGAAAATTCGAGTAGCTTCAATTCTCGCGAGAATTACCGATCTTTGCACACATGCGCTCAGAAAACAGTGGAGGCTAGAAAAAATGTATATGCCACAATTTTTCGTCTTTTTTTTTTTCATCTGATGGAAACAGTTTTCTATTCAGATAATTAGTTTTCGAGTTATTTAAGAAAAAGGTACGAGAAATCAAGAAAAAATTTCGCCACCCAAACCCGTCTCATTCGGAACATAACTAGAAAATACTTATTTTTGTCATGCATATATATCTCCTCTCATTTCAAGTTTTCTTGTAAATAACTTAAAACCAGATGTTAGAGAACAAAAAACAAGCTGATCACCAAGTTGGAACTTACACTCAGGCTTAGGATTAATTTCCTAACATTTTTAAAATATACCTTTTTGTGTATTTTTTGTGCTCTTTCCAATGGCGAAGTTAGTTTTTTCAAATATATTTTTTTGTTAGATGTTTTCGGAAAACCCGGAGAAAAACATATGGGAAAAAATTTAAAAAACTACGCCTTCCGGTTTCCTGCGAATTCCCGAAAAATTATGGCAGATTTCGCCGCGAGACTTATTTTATTTGAGAGCCAACAAAAAAATACGCAACTTCTCTCGAGGGCACATATGTCTAACATTTATAATTTTGCCACAAATTCATCGCAAATTTCATGTCCATGGTTCTGATCAAAGAAACGAAAAAACAACTTTTTGGTAAAAGCACTTCTGGCGGTGAGAAATTCGCCATTAAAACTATCTTTGCAATGAATTTCCGAACTATTTTTGCCTCCTCTTTCGATTGGTGCACTTACTTTTACTATCGGAATGATACTTGCCCAGATAATTACTATTTTTACCATGGAAAATTCCGGAAAACCCGGTTTTTCCTAATTTAAAAAAAAATTGTTCGACAGCTACATCTTTTTTTGCTTTTTTTCGGAAAAATCACATCAAAATACATAAGTTCCACTTTGTTTCATCCAATTACAAATTAATGTAAGCTCGAAGGGGCTTTTTTTCCTTATTTAATTGGACTATTCAGGTTGATATAGGTAGGTACTTATGAAAGATAAATTAAAATTGATCACGTTTTTGTCGGTTATGATTCTTGTAGCGTCTTTGAGGCTATTGATAGTCAATGTTGATCATGCTGTCTTGGTTAGAAATTGTTCGGTTTACATCAGTACCTTTAATTCCTTTAATTCCTCAATATTAAATATAAAATACCAATCAAGATACGTTTCGCGCGCAAGACGTACAGCCACTAATATTAATATGCCATTGAGAACTTATAAAAAGTCACTTAGTATTTATTACCAAAATTGTCGGAGCTTACGAGGAAAAATTACAGATTTCTATATTAACTACAGATCCGTTACGTCACAATATGATGCTATAATACTAACCGAAACCTGGTTAAGGAGGTCCTTTCGCCACACCTCTCGCCTCAAATTTAAAAAAAAAGTTATTAGATTATGACTAAAATTAAATTTTGTCTAATAGTTGAAGTCCTTATTTATCTTATACTGAACTTTTAACTATACCTTACCTTGCAAATTTTTAGGAATTTTTTTTTTAAAAATGAGAGTTTTTGTACAGTGCCTCACGAGAAAGTAAGTCCTCAACAACAATTCTCGAATTATACTATTATTTATTGATTAGATGGAGTAGAAAAAAACTAAAAATAAGGTTTTTGAAATATTAAGATTTTGTTTTATACAATAAAATATATATAGTAAACCGTGGAACTTATTGAGAAATTAATATTATAAAATCACAAAAAATTTTCAAGTAACCTAGTTGAAATTTTTTTGTGATTTTTAATAATAATTTCTCAATAAATTCCACGGTAACCTATATATTTTATTGTAAAAAACAAAACCTAAATATTTCAAAAACCTTAGTTTTAGTTTTTTTTCTACTCCATCTAATCAATAAATAATAGTAAAATTAATTATAATTCGAAAATTGTTGTTGAAGTCTTACTTTCTCATAAGACACTGTACAAACACACACATTTTAAAAAAAAAATTCTCAAAAATTTGCACGGTAAGGTATAGTTAAAAGTTCACTATTAGATAAATAAGGACATCTACTATTAGAAAAAAATTAATTTTAGTCATAATCTATTATTTTTTATTTAACATTGGTGGCGAAAGGACCTCCTTAAACAACACGTTTCTTGACACGTTAACTGGGAGAAAACCCATTCAATTAGACGATACTATGAAACAACTGATCCCAAGAAAAATAAATTCGTTTTATTTACAATAAAAGATACCTACTGTGGATAAACTTTTAGTAGACATTAATGGAAACGAAACTTTGCCAAAGAGACAAATTGTGGAAAACTTTACATGAATTAGACTTCGTTTGAGAGAAGAACGATAGAAAAGCTGCGCTTATAGAGAAAAATGAAATTATTTATTGGAGACGGCAATATTTTAGGAAAATTAGAAAATTAAGAAGAGAAGAAAAAATATTTTTTATTTGGATAAAACATGGATATTTTGTAAAAAAAAGTTTGGTAATATAAACAGGTAATATAATAGAATCAGCGAATCTATATTTTGTAGGCATGCACTGTTTGGTTTCATAACAGATACACAATTAAACGAAAATAAATATTTAAATTTTGGTACAACTGCAAAGTAACAATCAAAAAAATTCTATTTGTATGCATATATATTTATGTTGGACACTGTATACTGTATATATTTTTTGGAGTGAAGATAATTTTTTATAGATCTGTATAATGTATAAGGGTGAATAAGTAGAACACCAACTTGGTTCGTATTGTTGACAGTGACGTTTCCATAGAAACCGGTCCGATATTTACTTGTCAATAAACACGAATCAAGTCATTGAAAGTTTCTGTAAACAATGCCTATAGCAGAAATCCATGAAGTATTACTAAAATACGACAAAGATGAAGACAAAATCGATACAAAGTTGAAAAAAACCCATCAAGACATATTATGCGATGGTTTAAAATTTAAAAATTCTGAGGTCTGCATCAAAAATACTTTTACTTACGAAGAGGCTGTTAAAAGAAATAGAATGCTGATCAACGAACTCGAGATTGTTAAAGGGAATATTCGATCTAAATCCATCTACAGTCCTTCTGAAATGCAATGGAAGAAAATTTGTGAAAACTATAAGGCCAATCCGTCTTTAGTAGTGAGTTCTTGGAAATGTATTAATCCTGTGTATGTCTAATTTGAAAATCCAATTTTGGCTCGATCTTGTCAATTTACATTTAAAAATTATTTAAATAAATTTTTGACCAAATAAAACATTTCGTATATGTATATTTTCAATTTGTTGCGTCATGAATATACAGGGTGTCCCGAAATCAGACGGTCAAATTTTAACAGCGTAATCTACGTCCTAAAATAGGAGTAAAAGTTCATATAAACATAGGTCCGAAAACGTTTCATTTTCGAGATACAGGGTGTTACAAGTGAAGACCTGATGGCACATTTTTGTAAATATTTTCTAAAATTTCTTTAGTCACCGGTTTTCCAAAGTTTAAAAATAGTAAAATTTCTGATTCCACAGGCCAATTATTGTTTACACTATTGAATAAGATTACATCACTCATCATGAAATTTTCAAATGATTTTCTCTTGAAAATGGCGTCCTAGCGAGATGCAACAAAAAATTCTTTATTATAAAGAAAATATTGGTTTTCCAAATTTTATAGTCAAAAATGTTAAAAATTATCAACGATCAAAAACTAGGGTTTAGTCCATTATATAGAACGTAAAAAGGTAAGCATTTTTACCAAATTTACAAAAGTGTGTCATCATGACTTCACTTTTAACACCCTGTATCTCGGAAAAGAAACGTTTTTGGACCTATGTTTATATAAACTTTTACTCCTATTTTAGGATGTAGATTACGCTATTAAAATATGACCGCCTAATTTCGGGACACCCTGTATAGTTGTGATTCGCTAGGAACTCCTCAAGCTAATATTTTGCTAGCTGACAGCAATATTTAAATTCCGTAAAAGAATAACTAGATTAGCGATTTGAAATTTTGGTAAATATTACGAAGACAAACTTTTCTTAAAAATTTTATAGAACTTACATTTTAGGCTTTAGGAAAGAGAGTATTTTTTAAAAATACCACCGGAAAATCAAATTAACGTTTTTTTTTTTTAATTTTACACAAAGGCTTATGAGGATCATTAAGTGATTATATCTGTAAACTTATTCATTAGAAATTAGAATTATATCTGTCACGCTCTGTCAAGTTAAATATTCGAGTTGTTGCCAAGTATCCAATTAAAATCAACGATGAAGAACATTTTCGTGCACTTTAAAAAGTATTTCCATAATTTATTTCCAATCACATCCGACGATTTATTTAACCATTTTGATTGAATTGTTGTAGGACATAAAAATTAAATATTAACATAACATCATCTATAAAGTAATAAACAAAGTAATTTTCGAAAACTTTTAAACATAATTTTATTATTACTTTATATTATCCAAAAGTTGAAAACAAGTGAATTTATTTGGTTGACAAATGACGCCAGCTAACCAAATTTAAAGACTAGTATCAACAAATGGATAGCTGAAATAGTTCAATTTGTGTTGGGTTAACTGTGACGTCATTCGATGGATACTTCGTCGTCCCATTTAAAACGTACATCGATACACCTTTTTTTAAATTACGACGTATAAACATTTTTAAATTCAAAAGATCATTTTGACCAAGAGAGATATTTAAAATTATAGGGGTAAATAAATAGGCAAGTAGTAGACAATAAATTGAAATAATATACATGTTATCTAAACATTTTTTTTAATTAAGAAATTTTAAATGTTAAGATATAAGTCGAAATTTATATATAGAATGTACAAAAAGTAACGCAACATACTAATATTTAGATTCCTGATAGGTTTGCAAAACAATATTAATATTTAAAAATTATGTACTACAACAATTCAATCAAAATGGATAAATAAATAATCGGGTATGACTGGAAATAAATTTATAAAACTGCTTTTTATCATTATATAATTACCAAAAATCTTTGTATTTTAAATAAAAGTACTAAACTAACATTTTTAAACTATCGCTGTAAAACACTAATATATATATATATATATATATATATATATATATATATATATATATATATATATAGAAAAAAGGGGTTATTGGGAAATACCGCAAAAAAAAGAGAGAAAAAAGCCTGAAGGGCAAACCGTAGACACGTGTTTCTGACTATTGGTCTTCATCAGTATAATAATAATAATAATATTATAGTAATAAATAAAAATAATGTAAACAATTTTTGATAACCCTGTATAACAAAATAATGTATAATGTATAAAGTCTTAAGTGAAGAAGACTAAGTAAAAAAAAAAAGGTGGTGGAGAAAAGTCAATTTGAAAGATTGGGATTTTTGGGAAAAGGTTGTCAATTTTGGAATTTTAAAAATGAAAAGTATGAAAAGGTTAAAATAGAGTTGTAAATTAAAAAGATATATACAAAGAAATTAAATAAACAAACTATTGAATGTAAAATATAAAAAGGTAATAAAATGTATGATAGAAGAAACAGAAGGTGATCGGAGACAAGTGGATAGGACAGAATAGTGATACCTTCAGACAGAGAACACGGTATTTATAAACAGTTTATTTTTTTTGTTAACGATTGAACATTCGTTATGAATAAACATTCATAACTAGTTGTGTTTTAGAAATTAAGGTTGTCATTATAATTATAGTTAGTTTTTAGTCATTTATTATAAGTCACCAAAGTATATTCAGATTAAATAATAATAATTGGTGATTTTTGGTTCATATAATATATTTTGGAGAAGAATTGAGCTAGGTGTAGTAGGGTAGATGATAATTATTTTTATATAGTCCAGGTATTGAGATACCGGACATTTATTCAATGTGCCCATATTATTTGTTTGTAAAAATTAAATAATTAAACTTTGTAAGAGTTTGTTTATTTAAAATTTTAATTGCTCAGTATAAAAACATACAGGTATCAAATTTATCTAGGGTTATCTAAATAAATAAACTAAATAAACTAAATAAACTAAATAAACTAAATAAACTAAATAAACTAAATAAACTAAATAAACTAAATAAACTAAATAAACTAAATAAACTAAATAAACTAAATAAACTAAATAAACTAAATAAACTAAATAAACTAAATAAACTAAATAAACTAAATAAACTAAATAAACTAAATAAACTAAATAAACTAAATAAACTAAATAAACTAAATAAACTAAATAAACTAAATAAACTAAATAAACTAAATAAACTAAATAAACTAAATAAACTAAATAAACTAAATAAACTAAATAAACTAAATAAACTAAATAAACTAAATAAACTAAATAAACTAAATAAACTAAATAAACTAAATAAACTAAATAAACTAAATAAACTAAATAAACTAAATAAACTAAATAAACTAAATAAACTAAATAAACTAAATAAACTAAATAAACTAAATAAACTAAATAAACTAAATAAACTAAATAAACTAAATAAACTAAATAAACTAAATAAACTAAATAAACTAAATAAACTAAATAAACTAAATAAACTAAATAAACTAAATAAACTAAATAAACTAAATAAACTAAATAAACTAAATAAACTAAATAAACTAAATAAACTAAATAAACTAAATAAACTAAATAAACTAAATAAACTAAATAAACTAAATAAACTAAATAAACTAAATAAACTAAATAAACTAAATAAACTAAATAAACTAAATAAACTAAATAAACTAAATAAACTAAATAAACTAAATAAACTAAATAAACTAAATAAACTAAATAAACTAAATAAACTAAATAAACTAAATAAACTAAATAAACTAAATAAACTAAATAAACTAAATAAACTAAATAAACTAAATAAACTAAATAAACTAAATAAACTAAATAAACTAAATAAACTAAATAAACTAAATAAACTAAATAAACTAAATAAACTAAATAAACTAAATAAACTAAATAAACTAAATAAACTAAATAAACTAAATAAACTAAATAAACTAAATAAACTAAATAAACTAAATAAACTAAATAAACTAAATAAACTAAATAAACTAAATAAACTAAATAAACTAAATAAACTAAATAAACTAAATAAACTAAATAAACTAAATAAACTAAATAAACTAAATAAACTAAATAAACTAAATAAACTAAATAAACTAAATAAACTAAATAAACTAAATAAACTAAATAAACTAAATAAACTAAATAAACTAAATAAACTAAATAAACTAAATAAACTAAATAAACTAAATAAACTAAATAAACTAAATAAACTAAATAAACTAAATAAACTAAATAAACTAAATAAACTAAATAAACTAAATAAACTAAATAAACTAAATAAACTAAATAAACTAAATAAACTAAATAAACTAAATAAACTAAATAAACTAAATAAACTAAATAAACTAAATAAACTAAATAAACTAAATAAACTAAATAAACTAAATAAACTAAATAAACTAAATAAACTAAATAAACTAAATAAACTAAATAAACTAAATAAACTAAATAAACTAAATAAACTAAATAAACTAAATAAACTAAATAAACTAAATAAACTAAATAAACTAAATAAACTAAATAAACTAAATAAACTAAATAAACTAAATAAACTAAATAAACTAAATAAACTAAATAAACTAAATAAACTAAATAAACTAAATAAACTAAATAAACTAAATAAACTAAATAAACTAAATAAACTAAATAAACTAAATAAACTAAATAAACTAAATAAACTAAATAAACTAAATAAACTAAATAAACTAAATAAACTAAATAAACTAAATAAACTAAATAAACTAAATAAACTAAATAAACTAAATAAACTAAATAAACTAAATAAACTAAATAAACTAAATAAACTAAATAAACTAAATAAACTAAATAAACTAAATAAACTAAATAAACTAAATAAACTAAATAAACTAAATAAACTAAATAAACTAAATAAACTAAATAAACTAAATAAACTAAATAAACTAAATAAACTAAATAAACTAAATAAACTAAATAAACTAAATAAACTAAATAAACTAAATAAACTAAATAAACTAAATAAACTAAATAAACTAAATAAACTAAATAAACTAAATAAACTAAATAAACTAAATAAACTAAATAAACTAAATAAACTAAATAAACTAAATAAACTAAA